CCCCCAACACAGACCCGTGGACACCTGCTCCCCGCAGCATCCCGCCATCTCTCCCACCCACAGCCCAGCTCCCCGCAGCACGGCCGCTCCCAGCTCCCAGGGGTGCGTTTGCTGGCGCGATGGGTGCGGGTGCTGCCGACCCTGCGGGTGTGTGCCCGTGGGCACTGGGGCTCCTGGGGGGAGGATGTTGCAGGGGACCAGATTTCCCCTCCCCAAGCTTTCCTCTGCCAGAGGTGCTGCTGCGGGCGCCCGCTGACTCACCCAGGATTTCTCTCCTGGAGCATTTCAGCTGGGCTCCTTTCCAGCTCCAGTTCCTTGGTGTCCGGAAGCTCCAGGCTGGTTGGATGGGCCATGCCCCAAAGTTTCCCCAGAAGAAGGCGTGTGGGGAGCCTGGAGGGCTGGGCAGGGATAGCTTCGGCATCCCCTTCAGCCTGTCCTCCTGCGCGGGGACACCGAGGCTGGGCTTGATTCACTGGGCCGTGTCGCCAGCCCCTCAGGGGTGGGGGGGGTCACCTCTCTCACCCTGCTGTCTCTTGCCCCCACAGCCCGGCGAGGACGGGAGCGGCTCCCCACCGCCCGGCCAGCAGCCCCGCGGGCAGAGCTTCGTGCAGAGCCACTTCCAGGCGCAGTACAGGTGAGCGGGGAGCCCGACTCTGTGAGCCCAGGGGAGAGACGAGCTGGGGGGTGCTCAGCCCTGCAGAGCGACTCCGTCCATCTGGCTGTCACCAAGACGGGCTAAAAGGGCTTATGGACCCCAGTGGGATGTAGATAAGCAGACAGACTCCTGTAGTAACGGCCGGGTGCACAGGACAGTTGTCTCCCCAACAACGCACCCCTAACCCCTGTAACATGCTGATTATTTAGGATACAGTCATACATATTAATCAAGTTCTCATACATAATCATATTAACTCCCATAACTCATTTTCTTATCCCCACCCCTTCCCAGCCACGCGCACTTGAGCTCTGAAATGAGTCCAGTGGCTTTGACTCAAGGACTTTGGCTCATGTGGCGATTTTAACATGCTCCGAGGCCCTTTCACAGTGCAACTTTTAAAACACCTGGTCTCCAGGGCCATGAATCATCCTCACCGAACAGTCTAACAATGGTACCTTGTCCAGCAGCAGAACTGGTTCCATGGTGACTTTAAACTAAATACAACATCTCTATAGCTGCTTAAAACTTTACACCACTATCTTTTATAAAACCAGTATTTCTGTGAGATTCCATTTAATTGATTAGTCCTAATTCCTTACCAAAATCACCAAAAATCATCAACTTATATTAATAACAAATCACTAACAAGCAATAACATGGCCATTTCTTACTCCGCTTCAATGCCAGCAAATTCTTTTCCAAGTGCAGAACAGGACACAGGGAGGGCCAGAGCCCAAATCCCCATGGCAGCGAGGGGGGTGTCCTGACCTCTCCCCACCCATCGCAGCCCCGGGACTCCCGGTAATGAGCTGAGGGTGTCATCAGCGCCATCCAGTGTCACCTCTTGGCATGGACACGGACACGGGCACACCCCAGCCCTGCCCCACCCACCACCCACCTTTCCTGGGCATTTCACCCCCCCTGCCTTTAGACACCCCACCGCTCACTTTGCCTTGGCCTTAATGAACCCTTAAGCAGTTCCCTTCGTTATCACTGCCCAAGGGTGGGGAGAGCCACCAGGAGATGGCTTGTGCCAGGACAGCTGATTTGGGGGCAGCTGATTTTGCACCACAACACCAGTTCGCTGGCAGAATCAGGGCGGGTGCTGAGCTGGGAGGGCTCAGCCTGGGGAGACGGGCAGGGCTGCGGGCAGGGCTCGGGCAGGGGATGCGCTTCCTCCTGGTTGTCCTCCACCGGCATGTGTTGGGGATGAAGGCTGTGGGTGGTGGAGCAACCCAGTAAGGCGTGGTGCCCCTCAAGGGTCCATACTGGGACCAGTACAGTTTAATATCTTCATCAGTGATATGGTGGGGTTGAGTGTGCCCCCAGCGAGTTGGCAGGTGGCACGTTGAGGGAGGGCCAATGGTGGGGTGGAGGAGTGAGCCCATGTGAACCTCATGAAGTTCAACCAGGCCAAGTGCGAGGTCCTGCCCATGGGTTGGGGCAGTCCCCAGTACCAGAACAGACTGAGTGGCAAATGCAGAAGGACTTGGGGGTACTGGTGTATGAAAAATTGGGTGTGAGCTGGCAGTGTGTGCTCACAGCCCAGAAAGTCAACTGTGTCCTGGGCTGCAGCCAGAGGAGCATGACCAGCAGGGCAAGGGAGGGGATTCTCCCCCTCTACTGAGCTGTTGAGATCCCCCCTTCAGTGCTGGGTCCGTCTCTGGGGCCCCCAGTACAAGACAGACATGGACCTGTGGAGCGGGTCCAGAGGAGATGCTCAGAGGGCTGGAACATCTCTGCTAGAAGGACAGACTGAGAGTTGGGGTTGGTCAGCCTGGAGAAGAGCAGGTTCCAGGGAGGCTTTATCGTGGCCTTTCACTATGGAAAGGGAGCTTCTAAGAAAGATGGAGAGATGTTTTACTGGGGTCTGTGGTGACAGGACAGGGGGCAACTGTTCTAAACTACGAGAGTGTAGGGATTGACTGGACATAAGGAAGAAATATTTTACGGTGGAGGTAGGGTTGGTGAGGCCCTGGCACAGGTTGCTCAGAGAGGTGGTAGATGCCCCATGGTTCTCTCACAGGACTCAAGATAGGGGTTATCCCAAGCCTGTCCCAGAGGGCCAGCATGGGGGCGCCCCCACGTGTGGGCGATGGGACACCCCACATGTTCGTCTGGCTGAGACCCGGGATGCTTGAGTGGGTCAGCAGCTGGCCACCCCGTCCCCATGCCATGGCACTGCAGGCATGAGGGAACACATCTGGCATCACAAGTCCTCTCTGAATTAATCCCCCACTCTGTATGAAGAAAAGGCGCTTTAATTATCCACCCCCTTCTGCGTACCAGGGCCTGTCTGTGTGCAAAAGGATTTATTAATTTGTGCAGCTGCTTCCTGGGGAGCTTGGTGGCTCTTCAAGGTGATAGATAACAAGGCCTCAGGATTTTGATTTGGTTTTTAATTTGTCTTTCCCCTTTTTGTTGAATAAAACGGAGGAAAAAGAAGAAATAAAAAAAAGACAGAATTAAAAAGAAATAGGAGGTAAGGTGGTTGTTGGTATTAAAGATTCGTTTAAGCCAGGCTTTGGTGGAGCATCTCCTGTGGGAGAAGGGGAAGGCTCCCCACTGGTAGGGGACCTGGTTCTCCCAGAAGTCCCCCATCACTGTCCCGGGGCTGCCCTGGAGCCGGCGGCTGTGCTGTGGCTGGGGCCGGGGGGG